TCGCACTAATCAACATCCGACCATTGTATTGCGAATATGGAATTAATGTGTCGCTGAGGGACGGCATGAAGAACTGAACGGCATGAAGAATCTGAACGCCCTCCCATGAATAACGCCCGAGAGGTCAGACATATTGTGAGGTCAGCCCTACAAAATCATACAACCACATCACGCACCATTAGTCAGGAAATGGGCATGTTTGCAGTCCGCCCAGTATCCGCTTGTACAGTGCGTCGACGTTTCAGTAATGTGGACTATCAGTACCGTGACCATTGCTTCGGCTTCCCTTGACAATGCAGCATAGAGGGAAACTTTGATTCTGTTGGGCCGAGCGACAAAGCTGGATACAGGAGTGGCACAATGTCGTCTTTTTAGACGAATCCCGGTTTTGCGTGCAGTATTCTGATGGCTGTAGTGTCTGGAGGCTCTAAGGAGAACGTCGTCTGCTTGCATATAGGCATAGGAGCTATGCGCCTGATGTGATGGTTTGGGCAGCCACTGGGTACACGACACGCACATGTTCAGTTGTTATCGACAGTAATTTGAGCGCAAATCGGTATATTTCTGACATTTTACGTACAGTGATTGTGCCCTACGTTCGAGGCCTGTCAAACGCCATCTTCTAATAGGATAATGCAACACAACACGTGGCACTTCGTGTTCTGACCTTCCTCAATATGCAGGGTATTCGATTGCTGCCCTGGTCTGTACGGTCTCCAGATCTGTAACCCATTGAAAACATCTGTTCATGGGTTCCTGAGAGACTGTCCCGCCACCCTTCTCCAACTAACATGGCTGATGAAGTTTGGCATGGACTTAAAGCAGCATGTTTCTATCATTCAAGCCCAGTTTGATTCCATGCCTAATCGAATAAGGGTCATTTTAGCTGCCAGGGGTGCCAGCTGTTTTCTACTAATTTCGTATCCTTGTAAATCCCGAAACGGCTTATAGATTTAATCAGTTTGTGTTCATATCGTACTAATTACGTGCAATAAATATCTTTATGATTTGCTTTCTTTCCTGGTGTTGCAATTTTATTGGCCAGCAGTGTAATTATTTCAGCTAAACTTGACTGCAGTGCAAGAGTTACTTAGAACAGAATTGAAACAATATTATTTTTTATGGGGAAAATATGTAATATAAAACGGTTTTAAAATATATTACGTCCAAAGGGACGTAGTATATTTAACTAAAGGCATGTGCTTTAAAATGTACTTTGTATATTCTGTATTTTTTAGTTTTTACATATATATTTTCATCTTAATTTCAGATGAAATGCTTTTTTGATACGACCTTCTCGAATAGTCCAGTGTAAATTATCATGTTTGTTCATCAGTTTTAGGAAAAGAATGATTAAATAAATACCTTTATTCTGCGATAAACAGAGTATGTAACCGTATCATAGAATGAATGTATCGTTTTAAGAAATCCCAAATTCCATTTTATGTCATATAATAAAATGTAATGTTTTAATTAAATCTCAAAACCTTTCTCCGTTTTAAAATCGAATCATTTACACCAATGATTTCAGTTACAAATAGCACGTTCATTTATGCGTTATCGCCCTTTAGGACGTTTAATCAGAGTAATTTAATAATGATTCGTAAAAAAGTTAATTTAAAATGTCAGAAAGTACAAATTCTGTGATTTTTAAATTAACGAAGGAAACTTGCAAAGAATATTTTAAGTCACAATAGCAGAGAATGATCGCAAGGTAATAAATAATGAAAGCGAGATGAAGAGATTAAAGTTTCTCAAAAGCGACAATGGGAAAGTTTTATCAGTTGGATAATACATAATATTGAAAAAGGACGAATTGAAACTAAAATCTTTTTTTTTCTAATTTATCATGTTTATCAGCTAATACAAGAAAGATTATATGAGAAAAATAGATTTGAATAAAATATAAAAAGAAGTGTCATTTTCCTCTGTATTTCCTCCACACGAAATGGAGTTATTCAATTTAAAAATTTCGCTTTGATGTTGTAATTTATTTGACTTTTTAGTGCTGATCAACAAAACTATGATAATTGAAACAGACTATTTTTTTTTAATTTTGGATCGCTTAGAAAAGGCAATCCCAATAAAGTTCTAAGGGAGCTTAAATAAATGACGCCACAACATTACAGTTAGATCAAAAGTGGTTAGCACAGAATTTTTTGTTCTTTTCAATTCGTTGAATTTCTTAAGAATATTAATATGACATTTTTGCTCTGTTTTCCTTTTTTTATCATATAATAAGACACATGAAGTCTGCTTTGCTTTCCAGAAACATCAATGCATACTGAGTCGTGCATAAGCACGTGCCATTCTTCAGTGAGTTGGCATTGATTCTCTAATTTTGGCATTGGGTTGCGTGTATTCGCTACGTTTTGCTGTCGCTGAACAATGTTTGTGTGATCAAATTCCACAATTGCTGCCAATGTTCGCATTGTTTGACGCGGATTATCATGAACCAACTGATTTAGATGGTTTCTATGAAAATGAGAAGGTCTTAAAGAAAGTGTTTCATCACCCAAGTTGAATTTTCCTTCTCGCAAACGAGAAAAGCCGTCCTCTCTGCACGTGCTTTACTCCCGCACGCACCATAAATTCTTTTTGTGGCTTCTTCATCAAAATCAAAGAGTTAAATCTGTCGGAAATGTTCATTTTTCTCTCTTTGACACTCCATACTGATTAGCCATGAAAATAGCGAAAACGAACTGTTAACAACATACCAGCTCTTGCTCGTAACAATCCAACACCAAGTTGCATAGAAACAACTGAATAACGAATAACGAAGGCTCTTTACAATGATGTCTTGCTAATCCAATTTACAATGGCACGGACATGTGCACCGACCCAATAATTTAGAAAGTCATTTATAGAAATAAGATGTTTTAGCTCAAAAAAGTTTTCATTCAATGAAAATTATTACGCTGAATATTATGAAACAAGTGATTGAAAAAAATAATTATTAATATAATTATTTAAGTCAGCAGATTTCTTTTTCAAAGTAGCTTATTCGCAATTTCTGTTTTAAAACCATAATTATAACAGAAAAGAATTAATGCTGTTTTCTTCTTTTTTGCCGAAGGTTGCGCTAAATTTTTATTAAAAAATAATATGGATTCAAAAAACAAGTTCTTTCAGATACCTGAAATTGGTTTTTATAGCTAAACGTAGAGTAGATCTTTAATTTAATGCCAAAGAAAGATGGAATATATTTGCTAAAATAAATTCGCAAAAAAAGGAATGAACGTTTACAGGTAAATGATATTTTTTCATATCAATATTTTTTAACCTTTCTTCCTCTTTGTACTAACATATGAAAATATCGTTCCGAGTAACTATTTATACAATTGTTCTGTCAATGGTATATTATTAGCTGACTAGTGGAGCAAAAACTATACCGAAGCATATTTAGATACGTTTCCTTATGTTTCCTTATACTATGTTTCCTTATACGTTTCCTTATACTATATGTTTTAGTTCATTTTTTTAGTTAATATTTATTGCTGTTTTTACTTATTCTCACTCCTGTGTGTATAGCCAAAGCACAGAATGAGTCTGTCAGTTCTTTTCCATCTTCCATGGAAAGAACTGTCATAAGGAATTCACTGATTTCATATCCCTGAAATGCCTCCATGACAAAAAAACAGTCAAAAATCATTACTTCACAGAAATTCGAGCCCGAGTACAATGAAGCTCAAGGAGCCCACTTCTATAACTCTCATAACATCCGTGGCAGCACTTAACTCAGTATTAAAAGGAACGTCATTTTTACCTAAGAACGTACCATTCGACTGCATTAAGCTTACCACGCGAGTTGAACCAGTTTTATTTGCGCAAACTCTAAATGAAGAGTAGGCATAGTCTTCATCTAGAAGGCTAGGCTAGATTTGACATTAAAAAAAATTTTTATACGTAGACCTTTAAACCAATTGTGACACACCATTGACACACATCATAAATAATAAATCTTCTGATATACTATACAGTTCCGAGCATATGACGATTATTTTTTTAATTTCACTTTTGAAACTTTACTTGTATTACATAATAAGGTTGTTTACAGAACACACTGAGATAATTATTCATTTACCTACATTACACAATTTTATTTCAAAATAAAATATTTAGATCATTTCACAAACGTTTTCATATAATACCAACGACAACATAATTTCATGTTTCTGAGGATATCGTATACGCAAGTACATTTTATTACCTTATTAAAAAAGTCTTTAAAAATTCAGGTTTCTCTAACGTTTGGACAACTAAGGTGATTTGGGCGATAAATCTGCACATTTGTTTGTCAAAATTTTCACTAAAGTTACTGTTGGGAGAAAGTCTATTATTCATCTGTGATTGATTGAGGGGACCAAATCAACAAAGATGTCTCATCTAGACAAAGCACTGTCTTCCCACATGAGATGCAATCGTAACTGATCAATAACTCTTCTGGTATCTTTCGGGGGTCATTCATTCTAATTCAAACGTATCATCATCAATTCTCTTATCTAGTTTTCGTCTTAATATTTTGCATTTACCATTACATCACATTGACATCATTATCCGATACTTCATAACTATGTTTAACAATTTACTCTTTACAATTGTCTAATGAATTCCTTCTTTACAATTCTCCATCCGCTTCCAATTATTTCTATTGAATTTTAAAACAATAAGTGAGCAAATTAGTTCCAGACTCATTTGTTGCTGATTCCTCGTCATAGGAGCTGTAATGAATTATTCATATTATTTGAGAAATATTTACCATTGATTTACTACAGAGATTTTAACTCTCGCTCAGCATCAGGCTACCCGTTTTTAAAATAATGTACTTGGTGCCGAGAGACAACCAAAGTCTAGAGTCACAAGTTGAGTCAATCAAAGTCGAGAAAAAATCAAATATTTATATAATTTTTTCAATACATTTGTCCATTTACATACATATTACATAGAATTATTACTGCGTTTTATGCGCGTTTGCTGCAGTTAATTGTAAAATATTATACCTGCCTATGACCACTTCGTTTAGAAATTCACTGAACAACGATTGTGGACACTTTGCCTGACAAGGTGAAGGAAATCCCGCCGGATGCGTTCAGCTTCCTCCCTGGGTCTCGTTCCTAAAGTTTCTCTGCATTTCTCACTTTTCTTACATACACCTTAGCTTTCAAAAGTGCCCCAATGGGAGATGTGTGAAGCACGTAGGTCGGGAAACATAGTGGGGCATCGGATGCAACCAAAAGGAAGAAGTCTGTTTGCAGAATCATTCCGTTGTCCTCCGTCCATGCAGTGGAGCTAACTCTCCATATCGAAAAATTCCGGATCTTTATTCATAAGGTAGTTATAATATTTCACAGGCATCTGTAACAAATGCACACAAAGAGTAGTTGTAAAGTCTACGAGGCATATATGTAACAGAAGTGTAATGAAAATAATGGTATAAAAATTTTGGTGTTTCCAAATGTCTCTTGAACAAAATATACATATTTTCCAAATGTGTAACCGAAACTCTCTCCCACTCTCACACTAAACTTATTCATTTAAAGAAATGGTTACAAATTTAATATGTATCTTTAAATCCTTTTATTAAAGTTAGATAATAATTTTAAAATGCGATGTAAATAATGTAGTTTAATTTTAAAACTGAAACAGTGTTTATTAAGAGTTAAAGTAACATCCAGCTCAAGACTAGTCGTATTGCATTCGTGATCATTTATGAAAAGCCTCAAACTTTATGAAATTTTTTCTTTGAATTTTTTTTCCAGTGTCTTGGGAAATTTTCCTTTAGGCGATAAGACACAAATAAAATACAGAATATAAAAATACAGACAGAATTCAATACCAAACTCAGAATTTACACACCAAATCATAAAATACTATGAAAAAAAATCTCATATGGTCTCGGATTTCCAAATAATATTTGAATACAAAATACTCTGTAAAAGCGGAAAAAAAAAGATGATCACAATCCATTAAGCCGAAATTGCAGAAAGGATACATATTCTATTGAAAATTCTAGTCTTATTCAAATGGGCATCCAAGTAGTCATATTTAACTGGTATTAAGAATGCAGCTACTATACCTTGAAGGCAGTCTGGTACATCGTCAAAATTCTTGCTCCAGATACGGCTTATAATACAATTCTGGAGATTACAAATAAAGCCACATTTAAATTTGTTGTCTATGATTTACATCCTGTTTCTGTTGCGTAAGAAATTTGGACATAATGAATTAAACATTAGACTTTCAACTAATCGGAAATTAAAAATTTTTAAAGTACTTAAATCATACACAACTTTATTATTTATTTTAACATATTAAACAATTTTATCTTTAAAAGTCGTTAAAATGCAATTAACATACAAAAATATGTTTTAAATAAAATAATAATTGTATCAGATATCAAGGCATTTTCAAAAGAGTTCTACCTCCAAAAAGAGAAAAAAAAAAAAAAAAAAAAAAAAACAGTGCCCATATGAATTTCGTTCACAGGAATAATATTTAAGTATACAGTTTTCAATTACTGTAGTCGATGAGACGGTATCAAAATAGTGTGTAGAAAATTTTGATATAATGATTTCATTTACACTGGTTTCCAAAAGTTAAGCGACAAACGGAAAACTGATGTTAACTGGAAACGTATACTATAAGCAAATTGCGCGAAATTTGGTTATAATATTTATTACATCATTTGTAACTTAAAGCACAAGAAAATGTTACACAAAATATTTACATTTAGTGATATCCAGAGGAACAAGTGGCAGAGAACAGAGATACTTTTTTGTCCCGAGCCCGCCACTATCTGTAAAGCTGACACCTCTCTTGGGGCCACGAGACGCCTCATAAGGAGTTACCAAACAGAGGATGATTCAATTCCATTTGGCGTTTCATAGAACAATTTATTCATACTATCGTAAAATTTGAAAAAAATAATGCATGTATGTGCACCAATACGTTTGAATATACAAGCTACATATAAACGCATAAATAACATATAGGTGCAGAAAACGCTAATTAAGCAATGCAGTTATTGAAGTCTTTATATAACGTACTACATAAGGCACATAAGTTACATACGGGCATATAAAACACATACAAGCAGAGCAATTCAATATCGTTATATGACACAGACTATAATACAAATTTGATTTTTCACGAAAGAACTCAACAAAGAATTTGATTCTTCACAGCTTCAAGAAGCTTCACAGTTGAGAAATAGATTCAAGAAACTAGTGCACTAGGCGAGCTGTGTGAGAGCAGCCATTTGCTGTTTCCAAAATGAAAGAATCACCAATTACCACACCCCCGGAGAGAATCCAAGAGGCGCTTAATGGTATTAAAGCTTTCCCGAAATTATTTAATACACCGCCACTTATTGAATAGCTGTTCGCTCCTTCGCAGCTGGTTTTAAGCTACATCGCATTTACATAAGACGACGACGGCGCCCTCTTTTGCATACTCAGTGTAGCTTGCTTTTATTTGTAACGTGTGCAGATTTCAAGAATTTCAAATTATAGCCGATTTAATGCAATATTTCCTGTTGGAAACTAGCATACTCGAAAACTGAAATTATTGTTCCCGGGTCTAATTTAAAATTCTCAATACTTAGCATCTGGAATATGATGATTGTATATTATAGATGAGAATGAGATTTCGCAGGTGATAATAACGATCCAGTTTATTATTACAGACCTGATATAGTTTTCACGGAAAAACCCTGGTGGATGCATGCAAGGATCCTTTATCCATCTTTCTGTACTCTCAAGCCACCCGAAAAGATTTTCGGCTTAGCAGGTATGTAGAGGCCTCTGTGCGGCAAACAGCTGTATTGACATCCAAGCCTTCTCCATGATTGCAACCCGATGCTCAATAACCACCTACTATAGTACCATACCCACAAGCACTATACCAACCAAAGTGGCATATAAAAATACTTACTATTTTATTAATTTTATCTTTTAAAGTAAACCAAATGTGTTTATTTTTTCTAGTTGTCCACGCCGCTTGTCTATTCATCCATACATTTTTATTTACATTAAGGTCACTGTTTTACATTAAGGTCAAAATACATACCTTTACAATAATAATTCATTTCATCCCATTTGAATTCCTCCTAAAGTCCTTTAGCTTATTAATGTCCTTACTTCTTAATTTCCTGAGGACTCATAAATCATAATATATATCAATGCTCATCATTTTCCAAATTAGTGTGAATTTTTGTCACATTTTCTTCCTTTTGATGATCAAACTCATAATTGCAGAATTTCGAACTGTCTTTCATCAGATAGACAGAAAGCATACTAGATGAAGATTTTTTAAAGTTCTGTAACGTAATTAACCGAAATCTCGAGATTTTCCCATTTTTTTTCAAATAGTGTTTAACATTTTTATTAATTGTGCAGCTGTTAAAAATCAAGGACTTTTTAATCAAACAATTATTCGTTCATCAATCTCTAACAAGCAATCTCATGATTTTTGATGACGATGAGATCAGATTTGTAAACTAAACTTAAATCTGAATGAGTTGAATATAACGTTAGTCCAATAAATAAATCGGAAAGATCTGAAAGAAATATGATTTTTGCTTCATCTGTACTATACTGGTTCAAAGGAATAACTTCTTTACCTAGAGGAAATTATTGTCTTTTTTTTTCCCAAATTTTCGGGTTAAGGACCTTAAATATATACATATGTGTGTACTCCTCGTATGTGTTTTAAATATTTCACTTGTTTGAAAGTAACATCAGAACTAGTCCATGAAATCCATCGTGGCAAGGAGAGCAAGTTTGCGCCTGTAATCGGAAAGAGCCTTGAGCACCATATAGGTGGCAGTACAACTTCGCCCAGTTCCGTTTCCAATTATGATGAAGAACACCCGGGGTATGAAAGGGTCTCTCACCCTTCTTTCCCTACCACCAACCTCTCAAGAGGACGTTCGGCTCGCCATTTATTTAGAGTGCCCCCCATGCTGCAAAGACATGCATACTTACAAACATCCATACCTACTCCGGGATTAGAACCCAGTGTCTTCGGAACTTCAGCAAGCTTCCCTAACCAGTATACCGTCTGATAGGCACTTTCACATAGATAAAAGGTTACGTTAAACCGTTTTAATTAAAATTTTAAAATAATAATAGTAATCATCATAGTAATTTTAATGAAAAGTTATTACAGATAAAATAAGAGAGTGCAAGTAAGAGAATTGTATTAGTGCTTTAAAAGAATTTCTCGATTTGAAGGAACAAAAGTCATGATAGCATAGAAATGGCAATCTAAAAGAATTTCGGTTCATTTAAACTTGCTTTTACACTTTTGAAATTAATTTTGTATTTCTTAGCAGCCGCACGAATTTAGTTTTAGCCACATACCGTTGTCCATACTCTATTACTTTGGACCAGAAGGAGCTATTTAACCAGGAGATCTATTAATTTCGCTTTGGCATTTTGCGTTGATTCGCTACAAGCGTTGTTTCAGTTTTCAAATTGTTGCCACCAAATACTATAGTCCTGTATTATGTTTAAAGAAATTTAAAAATGAAGAATCTGCATAAATGTATGCAGGTTTTTCGCATTGTGATAAAGCAATGTACCTAGAGCAAACAAATTTTGAATGACGTAATCTTCCTGCAAATATGGGCATCTAAAAGGCCAAATTTGAAATTCGGAATTTGTTTTATTATGGATTTCATATTTTGTTAACCTGTAACGCACTTTTGATTAACAAACACCAGGATTTCCAAGCGAGCAATGGCAAGGTTGTACAGAAAAAACATTTTTTTGTCCAGCGCGCGAGACTGTGTACCTGAAATTCTAAAGATATGTTCATTTTAAAATTATAAGGTATTTCTTCCGGCTTCTTAGCATGTCTTCGTGGTGTGGTGGTCTGCACGCTGGGCGCGGAAAGAGCCTTGAGCTCCAGAGGTCCGTGGTTCGATTACAGGCGAGGGCGTTTGTCATTTTTCATTCTGTCATTTCCTTCACTTAATAATACCTAATGTCTCTACAGTGGCGCCCGAACTAAAAGGGTGGAGGAGGATGATTCTCCACACCCAGGATTTGGCGACTGGGTCCCCTAAAAACCCCTGACGCCCTTTACAAGGGGGAGTATATAAGGTATTTCTCCCGCCTTCTTAGCATGCCTTCATGGTATGGTGGTCTGCACGCTGGGCGCGTATTCCAGAGGTTCGTGGTTCGATTCCCGGTAAGGAAATTTTTATTTTTTATCTTGCCTGCTTCCAAAAATAAACAAATTCTCTACAAAATTGTTTGGCGATACTGCTCTTAAACTGAATTTTATGGTTTAACTACGAAAAACATGATATTTTATAAATAAAGCTAACACACAAAATGTTAAAAAAGCCCCTTTTGATGTAATTTAAAATCTGAATTCCGTTTTAATATTTTTGAAACTTTTAATTGCAAATGATATTTGACTATTTGAGTATTTAGGGGCTTTTGATTATGAATGACTTTGAAGTTCATATTAAGCATAGTTTGTTTTAAAATGCAGGATTATGAGCGGTTAGTGCGTTACCAAAAATGTTTTCATCCTAATTAATTACTTTAACGATTAAGGCATCACTTTTCTGCTACCTAAGAAAATTATAGTGTTATTGACTGCATTAAGGAAAACACGTAATGAAATCAGAAGTACAGTAAAAGGCAACAAATAACAGTTATGATGAAAGTATAATAAATTGCTTTAATTTCACTTCAAAGATTTTCATTCATCATCATGAAATATTATAAAATTGTTTTATTTAATAAAACTTGAGCATGACTGTTGTTTAATACTGTAGATAAAAGCTCATTATTTCATAAAATTTCTTCGTTGGCAAATTTAAAATAACAAATATTTAAACAAAAAAAAAGAAATAATTACATATCTCAAAACATATATATACTTTTTTTTATTACAAATTTTTGGATTGATGCATAAAATCTTTTCAACTGCATGTATTATCATATGACGACCGCTTCTGCTTTGCTACAATAGACCTCCTACCTCAAGAGTAATAGCGTTTTGTATTGATTTCGCAGTAAGAATCACAACCGGAACTGCAGAATCAGCTTCACTTTCTTCAGCGTCTTCTTTGGAAAGACGTCTAGTTAGCTGCTGTAAATCTTCCGTTGAAAACTTCTCACAAAGAAACTTAAGAAACTCATTTAATGACACCATCCTTTGCGTCACGTCCTTATTCCCCCTTTTTCACATCTAAACATTCCCAGTTAGTAACATAGAGTTATTCCAAGAACGTGGAATTGCGAAATATAAAGAAGTAAAATGAATCACAAACATTTAAGCATTTTAGAAAAAATTGAGAATAATTATACTTTAACCACTTCGAAATGAACTTGCTCAGAAAACAATGTTTAGAGGACAAATTCATTTAAAGTTTTTAACTACTGCTAGTTCCGTCTGCTTTCGAGGAAATTTAATCTAGCACATTTACTTGCGCGTTTTTTCTCTTTGTGTTTTACTTGTTAGAAATCGAGACACAAAAATTATGCGGCGTGTGTCATTCCTGAAAGAAGGAGTAAAGTCGAAAACCTAGCAACACATAATGATCATAGATAATTTGATAGTTAAAAAAAATCAGTTATAGTAAACACTTTAAAAACTGCTCATTTCACTTACACATCATGCTTTTCTATTCATGCATACATTTGTATTTTGCTTCATAAAAGAGAAGTTCTAAATGCGTCGAAAACGCTACGGGAGGAGGAATCACGCGATGGAGAGAAATATGCGACTAAATACGTTATTTTAGTACATGAGCAATGAATAAAGTATTCTCCAAAAATGCTTTAAAATAATAAATTCTAAAAGATTTCTCCATTATTAGCATTAATGGTCTCTCAGATAATTTTTGTAGATTCTTCAGATTAAGGCATTTTAGAGGTTGTAGAAACAAACGGAAATACACAAAAATAATACTTTAAAAGAACTGAAATGTAAATGTAATGTGAACAAAAAACAATACTTTAAAAGAACTGAAATATAAGAAAACTTGTAAAATGCATGACATGACACAGTCATTTGAAATTTCGGCATCTTGTTACAGGAGTTGAAGCAACAAAACCAGAGTAATGTTCCTAAATTTGCATGACGAGTTTCGAATATACAACGTGCTTCTTCAGTTGCAAAAGTGTAAATGACGAAAGAGAAGCCCATGCTCTCTTTCGATAAGAATGAGACGATAAGAATGAGAAGGAGGAATTCGAGCTACTGACGCCACCTATTGATAAAAAAGGGAAACAACTGTAAAAATTCTTAAAAACTTACCTTCAGCTTTTCAGAAATTTATTTCATAATCATTTCTCATCAACAGACGGTACCAGTACTTCGACTTCCTTCTTCTCATTCTTATTAGCTGAGGACAGGCTTCTCTTTTGTCATATGTACTTCTGCAGTTGAAGAAGGTTCTATATTTTAACCTTCGAAATTAATCCTGCAAATTTATAAATATTAGAATGATTATTGTTGTTTTACTACTCCAATAATCTTTATTCGGCGTATTATTTTAATTACAATTTTGGCGTCTTATTAAACTGGCATACTGAATGTCAACTCATTTTTAACTTTCAAATTAGGTTTCCAACTAAGATTAGCTATGAAAGATTTGTTTATTTCTGATTCTTCGAACATGAGATTTGTGTTCCTTCACCTAAACATTAACGCTTTTTAAGTTTCGCCGATATACCTTAAATCACACCAAGTTCCCAAGAATTAAAGTCAGAGATGGAATCCTTATTAATCGAATCATGGATTTTATTGATAGGTGAACAAATGACCTGAAAGTTAAGCTTGAAGAATTTGTGCAATTTTGTAATGGATACAGTGATGAAATGGAATGCCGACAAGGAAATTATTGTTAATTCCAACTGCGGAATGACTTTTTTCATAGCAAAGTAAAAATACTTAACAGTTTTATCAGTGACCATGAAAGAAATCCTTAGCTAATGACAAATGATTTGAACTGAGTTCATTAGAAAACAAAGATTTTGAAGAATGATCTTTGAAAGCGCATACAATAAGAGTAAAATGAAGACGTTTTTTACTTAGCAGGGTAACAAGATTCAGCAAAGGGTGGCAAAGAAACAGAAACACGTTTACTGAAACAGTGGTGTTGAAATCCAATTCATTTCATATTATTAGACTATCAAGGAAAGGAAGGATATTGTCAGATTGAATTTCAAAAGTGAACTAGATGGCTGAATCAGTTCAATTTACAACACAAAATCTTCTTGAATACTATCAAAAGCGCAAAAATACCATTAACGTAGCGAATCCAGAGCTGAAAGAATATTTTTATAAATAATTAGACCTAAAAATAGTGAATATATATCTGCAGCAGGCACTGGATGAAGGGCATTCAGTTTCCGTAAAAATTTGGTCGCTAAATTTGCTTTCTGTCGAACGAAATTTATGTTCCTAACAACTTGTTATCGCCAAATTGATCGATAAGCTATAGGTAATTCCTCAGCCAAATGTTTGTTGACATTTACAGGCATTATTTTGTTATTAATTAAATTATTTTAAAAACTACTTCATCCTAGCAGTTGAGTGATTTAGTAAATTATCTTTACCTAATAACTTACCTTAAGAAATTCCTGAATTATTTTTACGAAACAAAACTATCGAATCCTTTTCCGAAACACTGATATTCTAACTTAATTCAGGCAAGTAATCGCCAATGAATTTTCGTCATGTACGTTTTACACGTTTCCATTTTTTTCGTTTAGTTGTTGGTCTAAGTCAGGGTTTCTTAAACTGTGGGTTGCGACTCCCAAGGGGGTCACGGGACCTGCAGCACGGGGTCGCCAAAAATTTTAGCAGTTTTGATATTTATATAATAATTTTATAATTACCATTATTATTTACTGTGTCTTGGGTGTCGCGAAAAACTCTTAGTGATAAAAAACGGTCACGACTGAAAGAAGTTTACGAAACCTTGGTCTAAATGACAGTCAAATACTAAAGGAATTTCTTTAAATTGTTAACACCGTACTTCTCAGCGAGATTTTCAAAATGTGGCATAAATTATGTTTTTATTTAGTATTAAATGCTTCTTTCATAATCTTGCTTAGTAATCATACTGATCATTGCAAAATTTCTGTTTTATTTCATGGGATGAACTGAAAACTTCTGGCCCAAGTGAGGGCCTTTTCAAATTTCTAACTTAGTTTATCAAATTCTGTCGGTTGACCAGGAATGACAGATTTTTAAATGAAAGTTTTGATTCGTTATCGTTAGCAGTCTCATTTTAAAATTTGAAGAGAATGGGTTATAGAGTAAAAAGAAAGTTAAAACGTTTGGAATGTAATTTTACGCAGGTTATAGGACTTGAAACACAGAAAATATATTTCATTGCTACCTAAAACAAAAGGATCGATTGTTTTACGTTCAGAGGCTGCATTTTTAAATTTTGTTACTTTTAATCCGCATTCTGTGAAGTAAACTCGGTAAAATAAAATGTCCAAGAAAATATTTTGATCTGTTCTGTTTTGGTTAGTGTATTAAAGTAAAAAATGACTTTTACCTAGCAAAATATTATTAGTTACATATGACTGCCATAAAAATAGTGAGATTCCCTTTATAAAGAAATATGAAGGCATTCAAATATTTAAAGGACTAATACAACTGACGGCGTGGAATTAAAGAATTAACGTATATGATAATAATTGCATCTGATTTACCTAAATTTTTCAGAGGCAAATTTGATTGAAAATTCATTATTATCTTTTGCTCACAAACTCATTTTTAGTAACATACGACAAAAAGAAAAGAAACTTAGTGTATATACATACACAGTAGACTCTCCATTAATCCAGGTAAATCACTCTGTCTGACAGCTATTGATTAAAACAAACACAAGGAAGACCACCCAACCGGAATATTGGTTAGCGACTCTGAATAGAGTACCGAAGGACCCGATTTTGAATCCCAGAGAAGGCATGGATGTTGTAAATATATACTGTCTGTGCGGCACGAAGGTACTCAAAATATGCGGGGAGCACAAAATCCTCTCGAAAGGTTGGTGGTGGGAGGAGAGGGGTCAAACCCGTACCCCCCAGGGTGCTTTCTTTCAAAACTGGGGGTGGAACTGAGCAAAGGCGTACTGTCACCTGTATGGTGCCCAAGGCTCTAGCGAACAACATGAGCACTATTATTGTGTCTATTATTGTGTCTTAACATAAGCAATCTTGTCTCCTTGCAACGACAAATTTCGTGGACTTGTTCTCATGTCAAAGAACCGAGATTAGTCACAACAAAAAAGAGGAACTACTCACACAAAATTTAATAGAAAAATATCATTAAAAATATGCGCGCATTTTAAACAGTTTAATTAAAATAAATCTGATTACGAAAATTAAATCGGCATTCAAAACAAGACGAATACACTGAAAACGCAAAGACAATTGTTTCGTTTTTAATGTTCTCGTATTTCGATAGGCGTGAATGGGAAACAGAGGCATTACAATTCAATGATTTGGCAATTCTCTTTTAATGGGTGGCTTAACAATGTCTGCATATTCTAGATTATATAAAATTAAGTTATATACTGCTGTGGATAAAAACAGTTCTAAACATGGTGACTTCATAGACTGTCACTGTAGTTACCTCACACATTTTCTTCTCTCTTTGTATGTATTTCCAGGAGAAATTTTGCTTTTTCCTGAAGGTTTGTTATAGTAGTTTTACCATCGTTTCCTGATAAACAAGTTTAACCTTTTCATTTAAGACTCTGTTAACCCGCAACCCAGTTAATCAATAATTCACTGCATGTATTATTATTTTTACTATTTACCTGTCGGAAAGATTAAATCTTCTTTTTTATCATTAATACAGGTGACAGGTGAATGCAGGGCCCGGACACCCGGACGGCTTAATATGACAAATCAGTTGTCGTCCGGTACCCGCACCTATTTAGCAACACAACCCTGGCGACTTCCTGAAAGGGCTGCATCGGGAATATATTAATGGAGAATATGAGGTATTGACGTAGCCAGACAAGGGCGTGTGCATATATATGCTTCAGTATACAATTAATAAAAAGTTTCATACACAGGTACATTGGTGGTATAGGTACATTGGTGGTACATTGGTGGCACATATAGGTATATTGGTGGTACATTGGTGGCATTGTACATTGGATACATATATCATTAATACAGTGAGAGTAAATGGCAGCTATCTCCAATGGTAGATGAATATCTGAAATGATATTTTATGCACATTGCTTACTATTACATGTCTGGCGTAAGTTCAATATAAATGTTAGAGATTTTATTCACGTAGTATAATGGTGGTATGTGGTTAGTTGTTGATGATATAAGAAGGAGAAAGAGTTTAGGTACAAACAAAATGAAAATAGTGTACAAAATATAAAAGTTAATACAGTATCTGATATTAAGTAAAATCTTAATTTGATTTTTGAATTGTGAAAAGCATCTACATCTTGCCCTTATTATGATATTATAAAGTAAAATTAAAAATGTTTTTCATCGCCCTGACATGAGAATTTCCCTCCTACCTATGCATTTAATATCATGCATATTTTAAGCATATCGGGAAAGGGTTCTTTTGTCACTATAAACATGTATATATTATATGGCAATATATAGCAAAATAATTTTAAAATACTGTACCCCATATTTATTCGACCAAAGTTTTAAGTTTCTCAATATACCACAACAGAGTTATCACTCTATAAAGAAAATTTCACAGTTCGTTCTCCATAATCATTTCGAATATAGTAGGCTTAATGCAGAAGACAGCGGTATAAAAGTAACACATACTAGTACCAGTACACAAATAACGCAAATCGATATACACCTATGTATACACGTACACAAATCGATTCATAAAACAAATTTAGAATTTCGTTCTCTGTAGACAGGATGAAACTTCTGGTTATTTCCAAGCCAATTTAGCCACTATAACATCATTATGTTTCAAAAATTTAATATAAGGAAGTTTACTTCTTTCCAATTCGTATAAAATATCAGTTTCAAACAATTTTTCAACAGTACGCATTGGGCGTGTTTATATCAAACTATTTGCACACATATATACCCTGTCTTGTACTTACATATATAAACTGAAATGAATGGAATACAAAAGTGTCTCACAATCATTCAATGATCAAAATAATCATTAATTTTAAACTTCATACAATTTAGACAGTATATTTGTGAATGAAGAATAACCTAAGCTCTACGGAAACTGGAAAATTTATCATAACTCATTAGTTGATAAAATCAAAATTTAATATAAATGCATATTTAATTTATTTAAAAAGGCACCTAAAGTCAGAAAAAAAATTAAACAATTTTAAGAAATACGACTAATGACGCGGGCTGCACGAAAATGAGTAGAAGGCTGTAGTTAGGCCTACCCTATATTTCTTGCATCGTTATTTTGAAGAAATCTTAGCAGTTACAAATT